TATGGGGTGCTGTGTGTACATTAATGAGGAAAACAATTAACTTAAATGAATTTAGCAAATGGCTGCAATATAACAAAGAGTGAAAAATTTAAGGGGGTCTGAATACTTTCCGTACCCACTGTATGTATATATATATATATATTAGTATATCCCTTCTCAGCTTGTGGAAGAGCTGTTTGTGCTGGTCTTTGATTCATCATGTGACTTTCTAATCACCACCTGTTTTTGGTGGTTATCAGTATTACAATGTTTCAAAACGACTTCAAAAATACTTCAGTATGCTGGTTTATTAACATTACATCAGTTAATGAAATACGTTTTTTTTATTGTGAATTTAAGTTAAGTCTGTAAAACCTAAAATGTTGCTATTACATATTTAACGGTGAAGTTTTGACAACCACAGCTGCCGGTATTTTACCGTAAATGTCACAGATTTTTTTTTACAGTGTAGGATCCCCGTTTGTTTAACAGACAAAAAAAGAGAAAATAATACAGGGCTAGAATTACAACAAAGTTTGAGGAGAAATATTTCCAAGTATGTCACAGTGATGGACTTGATGGCACTTTATTTTGTTTTAAAAATATCCTTTGTTTTGTGCGGTGAATCTTACTCTATAAAAAAACCTTCAAAAGAAAATAAACTGTTTTTTGCTTCGAGGTACTGGTTTTACCCTATGTTTTAGCTTGTGATGGTGACATTAACTGCTTTATTTAACCATGCCCCAGGTGTGCAACATCTGTTTGTGGGATATCCGGAAGGTGATAGCAGCCCCTGATCCTTTGATCACCGCGCGTCCTTATCTTTGTGGGAGCAGGTGAAGGGATGCAGAACCACAAGCCTTATTCTCCAGTTTTCACCTGGTTCTCCACAAGCACACAGTCTCATTCAGGCACTTGTCAGAGCCATATTCACTATCCTGTTCCAGATGACTTCATTTGAGAGGAGACAGGAAGCACTTTGATCTTTGGCTGAAGAAAGAGACTTCTAGATCACAGTGTTTGTGTGCACATGCAAGTTTAAGCATATAAATGAGCCCATGGATGGTTGAACTTCTTCAGACAGTTTTATGTTAGCATATTCTCAGCACATTACAAAAACTTTGAGTTCCATTAGTTTTGAGTTACTACACAACAACAAGTGAATGCATGTTTTGGGGATGAGCAATGGAGCCATAAACCCAAAGGAAAGACTAATCGCAAATGAGATCAGTTCTTTCTCCTAGACAAATTCTCCCAAAACCAAATTATCTGATGCTCTCCACACTCATTTTATTGCTCAGTACAAAACAAAAGTTACCTAAAAATGGGAATATTTAAAGTAACTCAATTAACTAAACTAAATTGATCTCTAAACTCTAAATTTACATTATTTAACATTACAGAATCAACAAAATAAAAATAATTTTTGCAGGTTAAATCAAGTAGAATAGCTCTTTAAGGTAACAACTGCAGCACTTTTATGCCACTATTGATGTAAGCATGTCAATGTTTGCCTTATTTGTGTGTTGTATCATGTATTCATTTCATGTTGGTTGTTCAAATGATCTCATTGATGTAACAGTGCTTTCCATATTCTTAAAATATTTTTCATTGATCATTTTATATCACACAAATACATACAGTACCGTTCAAAAGTTTGGGATCAGTAAGATTTTTAATGTTTTTAATGGATTCTCTTATGCTTTTCAAGGCTGTATTTATTGATCAAAACTACATAAAAAAACTGTAATATTGTGAAATAATATTGCACTTTGACACAGCGCTGAATTTTCATCAGCCATTACTCCAGTCTTCAGTGTCACATGATCCTCCAGAAATCATTCTAATATACTGATTTATTATCAATGTTGAAACAGTGTGCTGCTTAATATTTTTTGGAGCCTGTGATACTTTTTTCTTTTATGAATAAAAAGTTAAAAAGAACAGCATTTATTTAAAATAGAAATTGTTTCTAACAATGTCTTTACAAAGTTTTTACTATCACTTTTTATCCATTTAACACATCTTTGCGGAATAAAAGTTTTAATGTCTTAAAAAAAAGAAAAAGATAATTTACTGACCCCAAACTTTTGCATAGTATTGTACATTGTACAAACACAAAATTTCTATCTTGAATAAACACTCTTCCTTTTAAATGTTTATTTATCAAAAAATCCTACAAAAAAATTCCACAGGTCCCCAAAAATATTAAGCCCCACTGTTTCCAACATTGATTATAAATCAGCATATTAGAATGATTTCTGAAGGATGTGACACTGAAGACTGTAGTAATGATGCTGAAAATTCAGCTTTGCTTCACAGGAGTAGCCTAAATTATATTTTAAAGTATATTAAAATAGAAAAATATTTTGCAATACTAAATTTAGAAAACTAAATTGCAATAATATTTCATAAAATTCCTTTTTTTCCTGTATTTTTGATCAAATAAATGCAGCCCTGATGAGCATAAGAAACGTCTTTAAAAACATTAAAATCAAACTTTTGAACGGCACTATATGACTATATAAGTACGTATTTTGTGGATTAACATGTTGCTAATTTACTAATCCTATAGATACATATTGTATATATTGTATAGTCTAACTTTTCCTCCCTCCTTTGTCCCATCAACTCTAACAGTTGATGACTTTGCCACATTCTTCATTTATAAAATTAAAACCATCAGTGCACAATTTTCCACACCACAATCTGTCAAGCACATCTTACCTGCAAACGTTCACATCCTTCTCTTCACTCTCTGAGGCAGAAGTCTCCAAACTCATCCTTTCTAATCATCCTACTACTTGTCCGCTTGATCCTATTCCATCTCATCTCATCTCCCATTAGGCAAGCCATTTCTCCTGCCGTTGTACCTGCACTCACTCACATCATTAACACATCCCTTCACACTGATGCTTTTCCCTCAGCATTTAGGCAGGCTCGTATAACCCCACTACTTAAGAAACCCACCCTTAACCCATCTCTTTTAGAGAACTACAGACTAACTTCTTCCTTTCATTGCAAAAACACTTGAACGAACTGTGTTCAACCAAGTCTCTGCCTTTCTTACACAGAACAACCTCCTCGAGAGGAACCAGTCTGATTTCAGAAGAGGACATTCAACCGAGACTGCCTTGCTCTCAGTTGTTGAAGCCCTAAGACTGGCAAGAGCGGATTCCAAATCTTCAATACTTATCTCGCTGGATCTGTCTGCTGCTTTTGATACGGTGAACCACCAGATTATCCTGTCAACCCTATTGGCAAAGGGCATCTCAGGAACCGCACTCCAGTGGTTTGAGTCTTATTTCTCAGATAGGGTCATTCAAGATATCTTGGAGAGGTGAGGTGTCCAAGTCACAACATCTAACTACTGGGGTGCCTCAGGGCTCAGTTCTTGGACCACTTCTCTTTTCTGTCTGCATGTCATCACTAGGTTCTGTCATTCAGAAACATGGCTTTTCATATCACTGCTATGCTGATGACACTCAACTCTACTTCTCATTCCATCCTGATGATTCGACGATAGCTGCTCGCGTCTCAGCTTGTCTAACAGACATTTCTTGCTGGATGGAGGACCATCACCTTCAACTCAACCTTGCCAAGATAGAACTGCTTGTGGTTCCATCAAAACCATCGTTTCATCACAATTTCACCATCCATTTAGGCACATCAACCATAACTCCTTCAAGTACAGCCAGAAACCTTGGAGTTATGATTGATGATCAGCTGACTTTCTCAGACCACATTGCTAAAACGGCCTGATTATACAAGAGTATATATGTTATACAAGAGCTTGAACAAGGAGTTGTGAAGCATATCCGAAAAAAAGGGCCTGATCTTCTTGATGTTGAATAAACTCCTTGTTCAAGCTCTTGTTCTGTCCAGGCTGGACTATTGCAATGCTCTCTTGGCAGGTCTTCCAGCCAGTTCTATAAAATCTTTAGAATTAATCCAGAATGTGGCAGCAAGATACATTTTTAATGAGCCAAAAAGATCGCACATCACACCTCTGTTTATCAGTTTGCACTGGCTACCAATAGCTGCTCGCATAAAACTCAAGGCATTAATGTTTGCCTACAAAACCACCACTGGCTCTGCACCCCTTTACCTAAATGCATTACTTCAGAATGATGTGCCCTCTAGAAGCTTGTGTTCTGCAAGTGAACGTCGCTTTATTGTGCCATCCCAAAGAGACACAAAATCACTTTCACTGACTTTTAAATTAAATGTTCCCTCCTGGTGGAATGACCTGCCTCAACTCAATCCGAGCGGCTGATTCCTTAGCCATCTTCAAGAATCGGCTAAAAACCAAACACACGTCTTCTCTAATCTTTTTATATTCTATCTATTTGTTTTCTTTTTATTAATTATACAATTAACAAAAGCAAAAAACGCCTCTAACACTAGCTTGCTCTATTCTTTTTGTATTCTGTATTTATGTATTATATAATAAAAAAAAAACCTGTGTAGGCTACTGCGTTAAGCTAACTGAGACTTGTTATAGCACTTGCATATCATTGCTCTTTTGTTGATTTTGATTGCTTCCATAGTCCTCATTTGTAAGTCACTTTGGATAAAAGCGTCTGCTAAATGACTAAATGTAAACATTGAACATTTATTTTATTTTAAATCATTATTATACTGTACTTCAAATAGCCTATATGTTAGATAAGATGAGGCTGGAGGAGCTCCGGTGAGTGTCGTCTGGCGGCAGGGCGGCGGAGCGGCGGATGGGGCCCAGAGGGCGGCAGAGCGGCGGATGGGGCCCAGAGGGCGGCAGAGCGGCGGAGCGGCGGATGGGGCCCAGAGGGCGGCAGAGCGGCGGAGCGGCGGAGCGGCGGAGCAGCGGATGGGGCCCAGAGGGCGGCAGAGCGGCGGAGCGGCGGATGGGGCCCAGAGGGCGGCAGAGCGGCGGATGGGGCCCAGAGGGCGGCAGAGCGGCGGAGCGGCGGATGGGGCCCAGAGGGCGGCAGAGCGGCGGAGCTGCCCCCTCCCACTGGGAGGACCGCTCCGGTCGACTCCACTCACTGCTGGAGCTCTCAAAACACGCGCATGCAGATCGCAGCCGACGCTCAGTTTGGAGTTTATCGACACGGACTGCCGAGAAAATAGCTTATGAAAGACTCGAGCGCGAGTAGCAGCTCTCACACTTACAGCGAAGTGTGTTTATCGACTAAGAGTTGACTGAAGGTGACTTTGAGTTCGTTGTTGTGGTTGGACTGGAGAGAGTGATCCAGCGACTGATCCTGGACTCGCTGTTATGGCAGCAACCCACATCGAAAATGAATACTTTACACTAAATTAATGGTAAGTATTAATAGAGAAGGTTTAATCTGTTTAAAACTGTAGTTAGATGTGACTTCACCGAATTATGGTTTCATTTTCTAGTGTGCTCAAACAAAAATACTAACTTTAATTAGCGTTTCTGCGATAATACAATATTGTTTAGATTGTAAAGTAATAATAAAGTGCAATAAGCTTTCTATTTATTTATGTTTTTTTTATATAACACCGGCGGCTAATACCAATTTACCTCTCAGTTCATCTGTAGTAACTAAAACTGATATTTTGGCGGACTCTGTGGACATGGTGATTTTTCTCCCCAAATGGATCTTTGCAGATTGAATTAAAATCTGCCAAATTTATATCAACTATACAAGCTAAACAGTTTACAGTGTTCTGTTAGATGTGCTTTAACTTAAATTAGCAGCAGCTATCGTTTGGTATATGGTTGTATGGTGTTATGAAGAAATATGACATATCATTGTTTGTTTATTTTGCCACATATGTGATGCCTGTGCATAGACACGTACTGTACACTCTTAAAAATAAAGGTGCTTCACGATGCCATAGAAGAACCTTTTTGTCTAAATGGTTCCATAAAGAACTTTTAACACCTGAAGAACCTTTCTGTTTCACAAAGGGTTCTTTGTGGCGAAAGAAGGTTCTTCAGATTACAAAAAGGTAAGAAAGAGATGGTTCTTTAAAGAACCTTTGACTGAATGGTTCTTTGTGGAACCAAAAATGGTTCTTCTATGGCGTCGCTTGAAGAACCTTTTGAAGCACCTTTATTTTTAAGAGTGTATGGACTGATGGGGGTGTGTAGTAGTAAACCTCTGGTAACCCAACGAATATAGTTCTAAACCCCAGAAGAGTTGATTCATCACCACTGCGTCCTTGATCAACCTCAGGTTACACCAGGACTGAACCTGTAGGTGTTCAGAAAATTTCTGTTCAGCACAAGGTGGTCTATAATACTTGCAGAAAGCCATCTATTAGCATTCCCATTCATCTCAATAGAGGTTACTCGCTGTCAAACGCAGCCACAGAAGTATGCAACCCGACATCTCAGATCCTGATTTTACTTTTTATCTCGCACTCTTAAAAATAAAGGTGCTTTAAAAAGGAGTTTTGCAGCAGTTGCATAGAATAAGTGTTTTTGTGCTACAGTCAGAAGAACTTATCTAAAGAGCATTTTTCCACTATTAAGAACCTTTTGTGCATTTGAAGAGTTCCATGGATGTTAACGGTTCTCTATGGAACTAGTAAAGAACCTTTATTTGTCACCGGAGCCATAAAAACCATGAGCTGCAAAATAACATCATATCAGCACTAACTAAAGACTGTCCCGAGCTGTGATGTCCATGTGGAGCCCTGCAAAAATCAGTCACTGGCAGTACATTTCTTATAGAAGAATGAAATATTTGTAATTTGGAGTTGTTATAGCATCTACCAGCAGGGGCTAACTGGATTACACTAACCAGCCAAACCTTGAACCCTTGGGTTAGGATTATGGATGGTCATGATGGTTGATTATAGCAGCAGTCAGTTAGTGAGGGCGACTAGTTGAGATTTTATTTTGAACCTTGGTGCTTGAATTAGCATGCTGACAGCATTCTTTTGATTAGTTGAAGAGAAGAGAGAAGTTGCATCTTCTTAAATTGATCTATTTCAAAGCAGTACAACTACAGCCGTACACATTTAGATGGACATTTTTGGCACCTGCATTTTTCCTGCCAGTTTTTAAGAATGTGTCAAGTTAAACGTTGTCCGACTTTGAAACACGTCCATTTATTGAGCTCCGAGTATGTGTGTGTTTTAAAAAAAAACATGTTTCATAAATGTCCTCTAGGAAGCGCATCTTCTTGTTTGAGCCCAGAAAATATGGATGGATGCAGCTTCAGCATTCATGGTAAATTTGTTGAAATGTAATATTTGTTTTTTTCATTTACAATAAAATTTGCATGTACAAAATATGAATCACACTAGAAATAATGGTTCCGTTTGGAGCATCTTCAGTTAAAACACAAAGCAAAAACACTCCTAGTGTACATTTTTTAATCATCATTTTGTAGTAGAATTAACAAAACTTGCTGTGTTTTTGTAGAGTAGCTACATTGTCATCTTGCTTCGACCAACGTGATTTGAATAAACCTGATGTCGTAATTACCACTTCCAAACTCCTAAATACAAACTTCCCAGAAGTACTTGGGAAAACCATGATTAGCAACTAACGCATTGCTTATTTTTTGCATCCCTGAAATTAAATTGATGGTTGTAAACATGAGGGCCAGTTACTGGGCTTGTCTAACCGTTATTCCTGTTTGTGAGTTATTTTCATCAGTCAAAGCAGTTCAGTCCACCTTCACATTCACCTGTCCTGTTCCTCCTCTTTTCTTTTTCGAACTGCGGATTTCCTCACAATAAAAAGCATCTGTAAACTCACTCATAAAGTTCAATCAAAACGCCATAAAACCATCATAACAGCACTCCACCCTGATGGCTCAAAAACTCACACGTTTCGTTTGGCGTGTAAAGACTATTGGCCCTGAGGGAAATGAAAGAGGACGTGATTACAGCTATTGAGAGTGACAGCTTTGCTTACTCCCTCAGAGTCTTTTGGGTGTGTAGAGAAGGCAAGACCGTGCAGCGTTATGGAGGAGTGATTATGTGACGACTGTGTGGTGCTCGTTTAATGCTCATGCTGTGACCGAGACACCGGGCAGCCTGACCGCTGAATGTGGAGTTGCCATGTGCTGCGCTGCATATGGTTATTGTTGTTTTTCTTTTCTTTGCCTTTACTGACCACACTAACTGTTAAGCCTGTGATTTAAATTTTTTTTTGCTTTGACAGCATGTATGTTTGAGATGGTATGCCGTCTAAACCTTTTTTGTTGACATGTTTCTTTTGGCTTGTTAAAATGTTATTTGAGACTTAGAATACTGGCGTCAGCAGGTTTTTAAATTGTGATGTTAAGGCAATTACTACTACTACTACTAGAGCTGCTCATCATATTTGGGGTTAGGCATGTAAATGCAGATACGAAAGCTTGGCCAACACATTTTAAATGTGCAGTCGCATACTTATGGGAAGTCGTGGCCTAATGGTTAGAGAGTCGGACTCATAACCCAAAGGTTGTGGGTTCGAGTCTCGTACCGGCAGGGATTGTAGGTGGGGGGAGTGAATGTACAGCGCTCTCTCCCACCTTCAATACCACGACTGAGGTGCCCTTGAGCAAGACACTGAACGTCACCTTTATTTGTTTTTTTTTTTAAAGGCAACATTTTACTGACGTAGTTACCGACAGTTTTTGCGGAAATCGTGCCTTGTTCTGTGGAATCTAACTAACATTGCTTTATGGCTAAAAAGGTCAAAATATCTTCTATTTTAAGAAACTTTTATTGACTTACTGACACACAGACATGCGGGTCTACCGGGGGCATCTCTTTTTCTATTTTTTTTCCTTCGATATGATATGATATAGACATATATTGGTGGTTACATTTATCTTAAAGGTGTAGTGCACCTAAAAATGAAAGTTCTACCATCATGTCATGTAATAATAAAATGATAATAATAAAAAGAAATGTTTTTGTCCATGCAATAAATGTCAGTGAGGTCCAGTGTTGTTTTGAACCCCACTGACTTGGGCAAAACCGTTCAAAATACACTACCGTTCAAAAGTTTGGGTTTCAGGAATATTTTTGATTGTTTTTAAAAGAAATCTCTTCTGCTCACCAAGGCTGCATTTATTTGATACAGAAAAAACAGTAATATTGTGAAATATTATTATGATTTAAAATAAAATAAATTCTACTTTAGTGTTCTTTAAGATGTAATTTATTTCTGTGATGCAAACCTGAATTTTCAGCATAATTTCGCCAGTCTTCAGTGCCACATGATCCTTCAGAAATCATTCTTCTTTGCTTATTTGCTGCTCTAGAAACTTTTTTTGTTTTGTTTTTTTTAGCAATATTGAAAATGGTTGTGCTGCTATTTTTATGTCGGAAATGGTGACACATTTTAGGATTCTTTGAATGAATGTAAAGATGAATATAAAATGTATTTGAAATAGATTTTCTTATAATCTAAATGTCTTTTTATAAGACTTGTCTTCTAAAAGACATTTAAAGACATTATTTGTCATATTTCCAGGCTGAATAAAAATAATTAATTACTTTAAAAAAACGACAACTTTTGAACAGTACCATATCTTTTTTGTGTGTTCCACAGAAGAAAGTCATACAGTTTTGAAATGACACGTGGGTGGCTAAATGATAACAGAATTTACAGCATTGGGTGAACTATCCCTTTAAGCATGAATAATCTACCTGTAACCTTTCCTTGAGAAGGAATTGTTTGAAAGGTGAAAAGAGTCTTTATTTGATCACAAAAGGCTTGCTGTCAGAGCTTCATAGTGGGCTTCTGTTCTCAGCATTACTTTCTCCCTCTTGCTGCTTTGCTCATACACTGTACTTGGCTGATGTATTAACAGTACTATTTTTCTTGCCCACTTCTTTTTCAGGTTTTGGTCTGCTTGTGCCACTCCGGTCTTCTCAGCTTTCTAAACCACAGCATCAGCAGGGGCCTCTGCGTTCCCAGAAACTGAGCTCCACGCGACCAAAACCGACTTTGTTACCCTGAAAAGGCTGTGGAAACTTAAGAACGAAAAACCGGAAGGCAATTTATAAGGTGAAATAGATTTTCCATTTCTCCGGCCTTCCGTGTCCATAACCAAACGGAGAGCTGAAGTCTGCTGATTTTAATGACATGATTGTTGGAGAAGCACGGATATCTGGATGCTTGTGGATCCTTCAGACGTCTGGCTGTCACCTCCCCCGACTGTAGCATTACCGAAAGAGAGGATTCTGGGATAGGTTCATGCCGTGGTTGCGCCGCTGTATGGAGGTGTAAGGGAGGAGCAGGACTCGTGTGGGACGCTGGTGGAGTACTGGCTGGTGGAGATCATGGGAAAAGAGCAGGATCTTCTGCAAGCGGTCAAGAATGGAGACCTAGCTACTACGCAGAAACTGCTGGCCAAGGTCAAAGCCAGCAAAAGCAGTGAGTAACAGTACATTACCTCTCTATCCTTTTCACTGCATTTGACATAATGTGTATCCATGAAGATCTTTGCTTTTGCAGACCATCATTGGCAATTGTTCTACCACCAGGGTGCTAAAGGGTCCACTGTGTGAACAAGTTAGAATAGTTATTCTGATGATCCTGTTATTTATATACCCATGACTAGAGCTGGGTGACGTACCTAAAACAATTCTCAGTATGCATGTATTTCTCTTAAAT